CGAAACCGGTAACAAACGAGTGGAGTAGCGGTCAACGGAGAATTATTACATTCGTAACGCGCTCGTCAGCGGTTCGTTCCGTCGCTCCCTGTTCCCGTTTCTCCTCGGTTCGGCCGGTAACCTATGACTCACGCGAGAACCATCGTTGAACGGAGCACGTACCGAAGATTAGATAATTCTCGTTACACTAATGCCGTGCGTGACACAGCTCCGGATCCTGGCTCAATGAAAAGTGCCTCGTGCCATCGTGTGCAGGTAGCAGGGATTCGCGTACGTTCGTTTCATTCTCCGCGCGATTATTACGCTCGTTCGGATTAATAATATGTCGGGATGACGTAAAGGTCGATGGGTGGGTTGGTCGGTAATACGAGCCAGCTCATCCAATATTCCTGACACAAAAATCCTTATTCTTTATCCCTGTCCTTCATCCTACGAGTCGGGAAATTTTATTCGAGAGGAAATTTGTAAATTTTCGCGATTTGCCTAGTTAAAGGCGAATCGGTGGATTTAAGAGGATCGAAGGACCTATTTTAGATAGAGATGTTAAAATATCGAAATCGGGAGATAGATTCCTAAGACCGTGGAAATTTCACAATGTTTCGCGAAAGACTTGGAGCAATTTCGGAGTGTGCAATTGACGCGAGAATGATGACGACGATCGAGCAATAAATCGTCGATATCACAATGAGCACGTACCGTGAGCTGTTGGCCGTTTAATGTAATGGCGCAATGAATCATGCAAAAACTTATCGTGTACGAGTGAGAGATGAAGGAATGCGTGTTTTCATTAGTCACTGTTATTTGCTGCACCCTTGTGGATGCGTCGTGATCCAACCCTGACACAAACGCAGCCTTGAGCAAGTATTATCGTGCGTTTTGCTTTTATCGCAGTCGGGAAATCTTACGAGACTTGTGTCACAACTTTTGAAATGTCATTTTTCTAGAGATTTACAACACTCTCTCTCTCTCACTCTCGAATACTAATCTAAGTATTTACGTACATCAATCATAGTATTTCGTCGAGCAAATTGATCTTCTCTTTGAGAAATAAAATAAAGTTTTAAAAGAAGTAGAATCGAATAATCAAAGAGTTATAATAATCAAATATATATATATATATATTTGGTTTATTAACTATATATTTTTTTATATTTTTTATTTAATTAACATTCTTCATTAAAGTATTATAATTACTTACTTAACATTTACTTAACTTCAAATGTCTTCCTTTATAAATAATCATAGCATAATTTAACATAGCATTAAAAATTCAATAGTTCTCTTCCTTCCTAAATGAATATCTAATTATATAACCTAACTACATATATCTACACGTACGTATAAGAATAAAATAACTCGTTTATGTAATCTGAAAATTTTTCTTTCTTAGATAAACAATAAACTATTATGGAGAAACGAATTTTTTTTTAACATTTGTAATATATATTTTGAGCAATATTATAATAAATAGAACATATTCATTAAAAACAAATATATATATATATATATATTTGCAATTTTTAATAATAAATCCTCTTTAAATAAAAATAAATTGAAAAAAAAAGATAACAAAATGATAGCTAGAAAAGCTATCAAAATATAACAATCATTTATTTAAAACCCGAAAAAATCACGAATATTATAAATATTTTTTAATTTCGTGACACTAAATTTTCAAAAAAAAAATCACGAAGAGTGCAATTCAATTTTGAATCAACGAAAAAAAAAAATTACAAGATTCCCGAACTGTAACCTCAATCAAGGATACATTATTACGCAACATTAATAAATTTAATGCATGCACTCATTTCTAAATATTAATATTAATTTCACAATAACGATATTGACGGATCCAGTGCATGATCATGTAAAACTGCTATCGTTGATTTATGCTTGTGTAGCTTATTTCGCTACATTAGTTGATCTAGAAGCAGAAAAATACTTCCACAATTCCAGTGGAAGATCATTGGGCATTTTATTGACGCAACACTAAAATGAATTTAATACAACAAATTGAATTTAAAAAATCAAATATCCCGATATCGCAACGCTATACGATAAGTTCAAATTTAAATAAAAAAAAAATGAAATAATAGACTAATTTATAATCGAAGTAATTAAAAGGAATCGCGATATTATTTATAACGCAACACTAATTGGAACCGCAATACTAATGCAAAAACCGCGATTTGCCCATAATGATTGAATGAAATGATGGACCAGCATGCAAATTGGCCATAATACATCAATATACACTTATACATTACTAAACGAGCACAGTGACAAAAATAGTAATGACTTTCCATTCTTTGAACCCGAACAAGATCCAAAAAATGAAAAACCATTCGTTGCAGCCCTCTTCGTGACAGTTTGTCGGGCCTCTTCGGTCTTCCTCCTTCGGGCGCGATGCCCGCTGAAACTTAAAACTAGGCTCGAGATTTCCTGATCGCAAACGAAAAATAAAAGAAAAATTACTGAATCGCGAAAGCTAAGTGCACATGGACGATCAACGATCGCAATGATCGTTCTTCGTGCATGCGTAGAATCTCGAGCGCAACGTTCGTTTCGAGACCGATTTCGCGACCGCGACCGCGAAATTCGAGAACTCGATGAGCGAAGTCATAGACGAGTGAACATTTTGTCCATTCGTCCCAGCTTCACTCTCGATTTTTCAAATTTGATTTCCTGAAACAGGCTGTCACGCGAAAACGCGCCTACCCGACCAGAGACTGTGACAACCTGCCCGGCCCTACCTGCTTATAATTAAACAGACACACCAGAAGTATACTACCTATCCTACCTAATCCTATATTTAAAATGGCAAAGCAGGCACACCAACACACTCATTCAACGATTCTCACGCATAACACTCGGGCGCAAAATGCCTACACTAGGGAAAGCGTCCCGGGACGCCTCCGACACCCGAGCTTGGCACACTGCTCGCACACTCTAACTTTACGTACCATTTTCCTGAAATCGACTGACATTGGCTGGCGACCATTGCGTGAAAAGCAATAAAAACTTGTACGTATATTCTGATTTTAATTGTAAATATTCGTGCTCGAAAAAACATACGAGTCATCATTTAAAGAAATATGGGGATTGTAATCCGCGGTATATATTTAGTAACAGTATAGTAAACTTGTTACTGTAAATGGCGCCATAAATGAAATAATAATTAAAACGACGCAATTCCACAGCCTAACAACACACACGATGTGGAAAATACGTCGTGCACGATGCACCAACACACTGTCAGTCGCTATGAAATTGTTATAAACTTATGAACTATGGTCATCGTGCTCATTGCCTCTCCCTCATTCAAGTAGCATCTGAGCACGTGAATGAGATCCTGGCAATGAACACGGAAGGGGTTAAATCTGAAAATCCTGAGCTAAAAAAAGATCGATTAATATAAATATTTTGTATCTAACGGATTAATATTTTTCGATTTTTTTTTTATTTATTTTTATATTCTCGTTTTATTTCAAAATATTTATAACATTATTTCGTGCACTTCGATTTATTGATTTCATGAATAATTAAATATATTGAATAAAAAAAATGGACTAATTAGCAAGGAATATATATGATAAAAAATATATTAATTCAATGCAATAAAAGACTTTATTAATTTAATGAATTATTGGAATTTTATTGAAATTTATATATAAATATTGAAATTTATCTTTTTAAAGTGAGACTAAAATTCATTGTAATGTGATATGAATATTAATGCAAGTAACCTCAGGCGATTTCTTTATCAAAGCATATTTTTGAAAACATGAAAGCATTTAAAACTTGTTGCTTTAATTCAGAAATCTGCCTGTCGCGAAACGTCTTCTTGCGCATAAAATTTAATTTATTTTTATACGTAAGAAATAAAACTTTTATCAAAATATATATCAAATTAAATCGCGAAATTTATAGCGTAAAAATTAAATAAGCATATGTTTTAAAATATTACTATAAAGCGAAAGAAATAAAATTGAAAATGATTTATTATTACATTAATGATAATATGCATTCATATAATTATTGTATAATAACTGCATTGAAGTCAGGAAATATCCGACTTCTCCACTACACAATTGAAATTATTTCTATTATTTATTATTTATTTAAATATTCACGCTCTTCATTTATACACACATATTCATATGGATATTTGGATGCATATCTATACTAAATATTTTCTCATTTTATAAATTTCCAATTTTATATTTTATTCAAAGGTTATACCAATTGACTGCAGCCAAAAATTTTCAATTGCAAATATTTAAAATAATTATGATATTGTATTAATATATTGTCATCAGAAAATAATATATTAATTAATAATATTAAAAAATGTGATGCGCAAGAAGACCTATCCTGAACTAATAAATAAAATACAGAAAAAGAAAATTTATTCACGGTAAATATCCGTGGTCACTGTGCTCGTGCAAAATTCTACATATACAACTAGTCACTCGTATCGATTCGGATCTTTTATCCTACGATATGATTGAGTAACTAGAGGAACAAAAATGCATGCGACTCACCATTAGATGCAAAAAATCTACCATCAATGTTATCATTACGGAAACTCTTCAAGAAGACTATCTTTAAATAACAAGCCTTGAGATTTGGGAAACATCTGTAAGAAATATGAGACATTGTAATTTAAAACATTACTGATTAAAAGAAATTGAAATAATAAAAAATGAAATGCTATTATTTTTATAAAATACTAATAAAAGATATAATACTAATAAGGATTGCAATTCTAATATATAAATTATAATAATAATAAAAATAAAAACGCAACAAAAACTTGAAATATAAAAATTCAAAATTTAGTAATTCTATTTTGATAGAAAAATAAAAAGTATAAATAAAATGAAAGATAATTACCTTTTTGCATAATGAATAATTGATTTATCTTCTTGAAACACTGACTCGAATATATACCGGAAACGAATATTTAAAAAAAAAAAAATACAGGCGAAAAAACACTGATTTTAACTAATTTTAAACACTGATAGCGAAACTATTATAATTTAAATAGAACTTCAAAAAAATATAAAAACTTTTACGAAATAAACACTGATTCTATCGACCGCATTGCGCTCGGTCTCAAATATTTTCTGAAACTAAAACTGAATTAATGGAATGAGATAAAATAAGAAAAGATTTTTAAATATTCTTATGGAATATTTGTTTCAAAAATACTGATGATTTTTTAATTGTGAATCACGAATAAAGACAAATTATATTAAGAAATTCATTTAATTCTTACAATCTTCTCTATTTTTATCATATAATAATTATTGTATTATATATTAAAGACAATATATGTGATTAATAATATAATGTATTATAATGTATTATAAAATTTTACCAATTGTTCATTAATTAATAAGGTGTCCATATTGAAATATATATTTTCTTAAAACTCATTCCACTTGTCATTTGATAACCTACAAAAGAAAATCAAGATTTTCAAATAAATATATAAAACGAATAAAATTAATGCTTGTATTACAGTAAAATAATAACTAAGCACAAATTCTTAAAAAGTTATAATATAATTTGTTGTAAGTACCTGTTATTCTAACCTCGAATAGATGAATGAAGAAAAAAGAATAATTTAGCTGGCGAAAAGATATAATTTCAATAAATTATAATGATTATAATAAAAGCACGTGTAATTAAATGTAATTGAATTAATAATATATAAACAATATAAAACAATTATGCAAATAAACAAATATTACGCACTAAATTAATCACACAACACAGAGAAAAGTAACGCGACCGAACCCCACTACTATCGATATTACAATGACGCCTCGCGCGACAATTTCGATTATCGAAACACGAACTAGAGAGGGGATACGCTCGGAAGTTTGACAACAAATCGAACATATACGACATAAATTCTCAATTTCTTAGAATGCCCGTATTATAAGAAATGTTTACATTTTCACTCAAACATAATAGACGAAAGAGAAAGACGAATATATAAACGGTACAAACAATGTATTTAGAAAAAGAAAATGTATTATTAAAATAATATAATTTGACGAAAAAGAATTGATTCTTTCATTTAATAAACTAATTATTTTACATTCATTGTACAATAAAATAGATAAAATCTTACCGTATTTGCAGAAAAATTATGAGTAAATTCTTGAGTACATTATAAGTGACGTATGCATTTTTTCTTCACAGTAAAATTTTCTTCGAAGTCATAATTGAACAATAATCTGCACAAATAAAGATCAAAATACTAAGAAAAATATCTAAAATTGAAATTAAAACAATATTTAAACTGAAATACCGATTAAAAACATTATAATACAATATAAGCTATCGATAACCTCAACAATCGAATGAACGTCAAGCAAAAGAAACTCAAAGAACTAATTAATTCAATTCGTTATTACAATGTTTAACAGATTACTAAATAAATGAAACTAACAGTAATCCATAAATTCGATAATAAAATAGAAACAGAATTACTTACTGTGTAATCGAGAACAACTCAAGCGGCACGTAACAATCACGATAATTTCCCACTGAAAAATGACGCGTCATAGTTCGCCTAGGGGCTTTTCTAATTGGCTATAGCGGCTAGGTTCCTATTTACAAAACCGCGCGAAAATTAAAGTATCATATAATATTTAATTGTTGATTTCTAAAACATAAAAGATGCATTTATTAAAATTCTAATAAGAATTAAGTATTAATGTTAATTTAACATAAAAATTAAAACAATTTAGTCATAATAAAGAGATTTAAAATAAAAATTTAATTAAATTAAAGAAAACTGAAACACAAAAAAAGAAATTCAAACTTAATTCTTATATGAAATTGCTTTTCACAAGAATATCCTTTTAAATATAATTTTTCTATATTTTTTAATAATGAAAGGGACACTAATTTACTAAATCTTACCAGGAGAACTAGTTACTTTCCGTTTAATATAAAAATAAATTATTAAAAATAACTTAATATGAAAATTAAACAAATTAAACCAGATCTGAAATATAATAGTAAATCAAATGATAATTCATGAATGATAATTGTTATAATAAATAACTAATTATATTAAATAAATAAATAAACGAGTATTCTTATTAAAACACAATATTTAATGCTTTAAAAATAAAAATATATAATTAGATATTACTTTTTACGTTAAAAGATGGTTAAAGTATTATGATTTCGTTTCATTTTTGTTGCAAAATATGTGTCTTTATACAGAGTGTTTGATGCTTTCCGAATAAAACTTAAAATATAAACTTATAGAAGCATAATCTACACAAGTTAAAATAAAAAATATTAATAGATGAAGTTTAAAAAAATGTTAAACTTCATCATAAAATCATTCCTTTTAACGTATTTACTATTATAATTTCGATTGATTTTTTGTTATATAAAATAATTATTTATATAAAATAATTCGAAGTATCGAAGATAATAGTATATCGAACAAAACGAAGCAAGTTTCAGATACCTATGTTCCTTTTGAAATAAAAGGGTCGGGATTGCAGAAAAATCGAGCGCGAGCCAATAGAATCGCGCAAAATTGGACGCTATCTGTTTAACGTTTCACGTTGTTTTATTTCCATTCCATGGTGATTTGCACGGATTACAATTGATCATTGTAGTTGACGTTCACGCGTGCGCAAAACTACATAAGACCATAGAATGCGCGTTTTCATTAGTCACCGTTATTTGTGACGCGCAGCGATGCAATGCCGATACACCGTGTAAATGCACATTGCCCTGAGGCCCTTTGAATCTTTCCTTTGACGCATCTCTCCTCGTAAGCCTACTAATAATAGCAACCTTGCTAACATCGTTCCATAATAACGCGTTAAATTATTCTAATTTTATTGCTGTGATATTAAATGCATTGCGTTATTCTAACAAGAGCGATGTAACAATTTAAAAATTAAAAAAAAAAATGACATCAAGACGTATAGCATATTCATGTTCTTTCTTCGAACTGCTTTCTTACATATCAACTATCACTTATTGCGATTATAGTCTAGAAATTCACAGCTCTTAAATGAATCATAAATAACATCAACGGTTAGGTGATTCTTATATTTTATAACTAAAATTATATCTAACATAACCGTTAATGTTAGCCTCTTCTTTTATCCCTAAGATTTATTTTCTTGTATATCTTGTATCGTGTCATAAAACCATTTAACTCGATCAAATTCTACTAGTTCCACTCGATGCAACAAAATTTCGGTATCAAGCAAAACGATTTGGATCCATCCCATTTTAATATCCGCAATTATTTCATCGAGCAAAATTTCTAATCGAAACACGATACATGGGTTCACGGGGTCGCGTATTCATTTTCATTAGCAGCCGTTATTTGCGACGCCTTCGGCGGTGCAACGTCGATGCAAAAGTCAGTGTCTGTATACGTTGCCGCCAAGGTATTCTTTCGAGTACGCATTCCTCGGCACGGTCGCTAGTATGTTTTGATATCTCGCGGGAACACGAGAGCCTCGTCATTCCTTTCGCGTAACATGTGTGCATAAACAAGTAGGATGATCAACAGGGTGGTAAAGATGCAATGGAAGAAGGTACTGGTTCGAGGCGAAGCTTGGATAAAGGCGAAGAGCAAAAATTGAAGATAATGTCTGTCTTCTACGTCTGTTGGAGTATAGAGGAGTAGAAATTATCGAATTAAAAATCCAATGGAATGAACTTGTTGTTGTATGCATTCAGCGTAATTGAAATTACGATATTTAGCGGAGACGTGCGCGATGCCACCAAGTAAAATTGTCGATCCTAACCATTGCGGATTGGTAAGGAATTTTATAGCGAACGTTCGTTAAGTAATATAAGTAGCAAGTAAGAAGAAAATAGCTGGGACGACGTAAATTGATGTAAACTTTCTGCGTAACTCTATATACCGTTTGACGATCTCGACGATCTCGGTGAAATACGTGAATAGAAACGATTCGGGATCCGGCTGCTATTCGATATATAACGCGCAGCAACTTGTTGGTACTAATTACTCCGATAGAAATCAACGCGTGTAAGCTGGAAAGCAATGGTCTGCCCGTCTCTAATCACACATTGAGTTAACTGGTGACTGGTTTCGGGGCAACCTTGGAGGAGCAACGGATCCGCGATTAACGGTCTCGCTTCGTTAAGCCAATAGGAAGTGTATGTCGCTTAGAAGGCATGTTATTACAATTTATAACGATGAATCCGACCCCGTGCGATCAGTGGCGATTAATTGCCATGTGCGATCTCGATGAAAACGACAGCCTAATATAGAACCTGGTGATTCGCCTTCTTCGAATCTGTATGCTCGAGGGGAAATGATCGGTTCGTAATTTTCGTGAACACCGTTATCCGTGCAATCGCTTATTTTCACGATTACACGTAAGCATCTAATCATTTTGATACGCGAATATGCTTTACGCGCTGACAAATCCACCAATTCAACAATAAGAGCATCAACATCAGGTCCGTATCTCACGAATTCTTCGTTGTGGATGGCACACTATTACGCGTTTGTTACGAATTATTCGTATAAATATCTGAGCACCGCTGTCGCTTATCGAGAAATTTATTTGCATGGAAGAAAAATAAGTGGAAAATTGGATTGGTAGATCGTGAGAAAGATTGCCTCTGCATAACGATTAGTAGCACTTAGCGAAATGAGAACGAAGCATTATCTTTTTTTGCTCGTATATTATAAACGCGCGTTTTTCCGTTCCAATATTTCTATGAATTCGCAATTGCTCTCGAGAACGAATACAGTTTCGAACTATATATTCGTGGAACGAATAATGCGTGGGAATTGAAATTCCGACGTAGGAATGAAACGAATCGGTAATTCCGCTAGAAACTGATCTTTGTTTGCCCAATGCTCGGGAAATAGTTAACCCAATCGATTGATCGAGGCACAGTAATCGGATTGGATATGTTGTGGAGGGGACACTTTGCAAGAGAAAGTGGAGGATCAACCTCGAATAGGACACCGACTATCTACTATCGCTCGCCTATACGCCTACATCGATTATCGTTTGACCGACTGAAGCACTGGAACGTCATTTTAATGAATAACGACGTACGTAATGACACACGACGTCATATCTCAACTCGAGCCCCAACGCACGACAACTAGATCGATCCTATTCTGGGAATCTACTATATCGATGTTTCACGAGCGCTCGTGTTCTTTTTTCAATGATAATTAAACCTGAGATGCTTTGTCGACACTGATCATTCTTTCGAATTCAAAAAGCAAGGAGAAGATTTTAAATTTCGTCTGAAGAATTAAATTATAACATTACTTCGCAAAAAAATGTCCATCAAACTAGGAGGAATTCCATCATTTCTAGAAAGACGATATATAACCTTTCCGCGATTCATTAGACGTAAAATACTGATTCGATTATAGTCAGCCAAGGGGGGCCCTTGATCCACCGGTATCTCTAAACTACCTGCCGGAAAGTTAACGAATTCTCGTAGCTAGAAACGATAAATTTCTAACGCAATTACGCATCATAACAAGTTGAAACTTGGGATACGTGGTTGCAGCCGATCGCCCGATGCATTATCTCACACAGACGCGTGTAAACACACAGAGCGGGTGAACTCATCCCCGCGGTTCTGCCACCACGATTCTGTCGTAACGCTATTACCACGTCACCCTGTATCGAGTGGAGAGGTTTAGCGAACGGTAGCGGCGTTTCGATCGTAAGTGCCGTGTCCCGTGCTGTCCATTGCAGCAACACCTACACCGTTCCGCATTACTTATCGAGCCGCGGCCCCGGTGTCTATCGAGAATAGAAGCGGAGAACATGCAGGAAGCTGAAATGCTCGATGCACCTGACAGGTGCTCGCGTATTCACGGACGGACAGCCCTTCACTCTCAGCGCATCAATCTCTCCGCTAACCACGCCATATTCCAAGACCACGTCGCTCGGCCCGAGCCGTCCCCGCGATTCGTGTCCAGGCCGCCGTCGATAGACAATGAAATCTCCCAGTCGAGATTTTGCAGCGTGACTTCGTTTCCAAGGGGATTGCCACGATCATCGTTCGCCATCTCGATCGCGTCGTTGTACACGGAAACAGAGGGGGTTTCTTACATAGCTGAAAGAACACTTTGTGCTCCTCTTCCGCCAATATTATTCTCGCGCGGGATGTTTTTCGCGGTTTCCGCCGCGTCTTTGCGCGCCCATGATTTACGCCCAGCTGTCTGCGGTCGTTTTAATAATAATTCCTGCCCTATTTGTTTATTTCGGACGCGAGCCGTTACGCGGTTATTTATGCTTCGGACAATCGCGCGAGTGTGGTAACAGCGGCGGTTGGAGCCGGGCCTCTCTTGCGAAAGAAAGTGGCGACCGAATCGGTCGTATGCTGAGTTTCGTAACCGTAACCAGCCGATGATCAATCGGCGTTTATTATCGCGCGATGGATTAATTTATCCGGCCGAGATGTCGATGCATAAATATCGAGATAATAAATAATTTCATATCTCCCTTCGAATAATAATAATAATAATAATAATAATAATAATAATAATTGAGGCGTTGCTCGCCTTTTGGAAACGGTGAGGAAAGGAAAAAGCGTTCGTTTCGGTCACGACGAATCGTTGCGAAACGAACACGAGTACGAAATTTCTTGTCCCTCGTTGATGGGAAATCGATGATTTCGGAGGGAAGGGGGA